ATAATTCTTTTGAATTCCTTATCAGAAAGTTCCAATGCTGCTTCTTCCTCAGGTATGTGTTCTGGGTCTGTATCCTATTCCCTTGTTTCTACCACTTTATCTTGCTTCTTTGTGTGGACTGTGATGGTCTGTTTTCTCTGAGACATCATGGTATTGTATTAAGATCTCTAATTGTTTGTGATGAGCAGCCAAGGGTGATTCAGGCTCTTCTTGGTGGTTTTTTATCGTTGGCCCATTGGTGGAGGAGGTGCTGGCTCTTGCTCAGTAAGTGAATTTGCAGGATGTGTGGGTGTACTTGTATCTTATGGGGACTGTTGCTGTCTCCCACTCAGACAAAAATTACAATTGAATAACCATAAAAAAACTAAAAGCACATGTACAAAAAATACACCATGTAATCACACAGGAACTGTAACCCCCAAAAAGAAAAAAAGGGAGAAAAGAAGAAAACCCGTAATATCTGGGGATAGGGCACTAAGAGAAAAAAGGTAGAGAAGGAGAATAATGAAGAAAAAAATGGGAAAAAAATAAAAATAAATAAACAAAAAACCAAGGAATGGGGTTAACCTTGAGGAAAAAAAAAGGGGGAGGAAAAAGAAAAAAAAAAATTAACCAGGAACTGGGGGAAAGAAATATGTAAACTAGGACCTGGGAGGGGAAGAATAGTGAAAAAACAAAAGTATTAATAATAATAGTAGTTTTAAAACAGACAAATCCAAGGAAACTAAACACCAGAAAAAAGAAAGAGAAAAAGAAGAAAAAATTAAAATTAAAAAAAAAAATCGGCAGAGGACAGGGCAGGGTACCCAGGCTCCATCTGAGCACACAGACTGGGATGGAGTTCCTGTGGGCCCAGAAGGTGGGTGGGAGTGGGGGGTGGCGGCCCCTCCGTTCACCAAATGGGTGTGGCATATAAGAGTAACAAGAGGAATGTTGCACCTTTTCAGTTATGCAGGTCCGGAGAGTTCTTGGGGTTACTGGAAAGCAGAATCTCTTCTTAAGCCCCTGGAATCTGGTAGAGCACCGTCTCTTTAGGTTGTCTCTAGCTGCTGGTTACGTGTTGATTTGTTTTGTCTTGGTTTTATGGCTTAATATTTTGAAAAGGTGAAGCTGATGTATTTTATTTTATTATTGATTGATGTATGTTTTCTTTGTGATGGTGGAATCACTGTGTGGAATGTGGATAAATTTTTCTGTTTGTCATAAAGAGGGTTTAGAGTTCAAAGCGGGAGATTTTATGGTAATTGGCTGAATATGGTTTCTTCTATTGAATGAGTGAAATTATTGGTGGAGAAGGTGGGAGCAGAAGAAGGAAAGTTTAGTGTTGCTAGGATCGGTTTCTAGGGCTTTGCGCAGGCTATTATTGATGACGTTATTATTTACAAGACTGCAGCTCAATCTCAGGAAAGATTCCTGTTGTTAGGGAGTTGCCCCTTTCCGCCAGGCTCAGGAACACTCAAAGACCCTGTTCCGAGGCCCCTCAGTGCCAAAAAGCCAATTCAAGACAAATTCATGGGACCACACTCAGCTGTGGCTTCCTCTCTCTCCCCACCCCATCTGCCTGCAGCCCTGGCACAATCCCCCCAGACCGCTAATGGCTCAGGAGTTTTCTGTGATACTGCCCACCTGTGGTGCCAAAGATGCACATGATTTCAGCTGTGTTGGAGTCTGGGGAGTACTTGCTAGTAAACTGTGGTCCCAATATCAGTGACAAAGATAAGCACAATGTCTCCCAGGCTGACCCAAGCCCACTCAGTGACCCGCTGAGAGGGGAGTGAGTTCACCCTCCTGGCGCAACAGTGAGCTCTCTGCTTGAGTTTCAGTGGTGCTGCGCATGACCATTTGCATTTAGGTGACCCAAGTTACCGATAAAATCAGGTGCTGGCGGCAGATCCTTGGGGCTGTTTGCTCGGATGTTGGTGTGGTCGCTGGTATGCTGATATAGGGTGTCTTCTTTCTTGGCTCATGGGGATCTCAGGTGGCCGCCGTTGCCCGCCAGTCAGTGACTGCGCCAGGGAAGTTTCCATTGGCCTCTCGGCTGCCTGTCTGTCCTCCGCCAGGTAGCTCTTTCTTAAATAATCTCCCTGTGCCTTTCCTCTAATTCTGCTCTTCTGTGTTTGGTGCACTCTGATTCAGTGAGCTGTTCAGAGCACTAAAATCCCTAATTCAAACTGCTGTACCTAGTTTTCAAGCACTTAGATGCTAGAGGGAAATAACGTGGTGCTTACTGACGAGACTACATTTTGAATCTCCCTTTCCTGTCTTTTTAATTACTTTTTGCTTTCTTCATGGATGATGTTCTTGATGTCATCCCACAACTCATATGATTTTTGGCCATTGGTGTTCAATGCATCAAATCTATTCTTCTGATGATCTCTAAATTCAGGTGGGATATATTCAAGGTCATAGTTTGGCTTTTGAAGACTTATTTTAATTTTCTTCAACTTCAACTTGCATGTGAGCAATTGATGGTCTGTGCCACAGTCAGCTCCTGGCCTTGTTTTGACTGATTATACTGAGCTTCTCCATAGCCTCTTTACACAGATGTAGTCAGTCTGATTCCTATGTATTCCATCTGGCATAGTCCACATGTATAGCTACCACTTGTTGTTGAAAAAGGGTATTTACAATGAATAATGCTTACTGAAAGTGAGGATGACTTAAGGCACCTACTGATGAAGGTTGAAGAATACAGTCTGCAGTATGGATTACATCTCAACATAAGGAAAACAA